TTGGTCAGATTAAATAAATTATTGGTGATTCAAGCTTTATTTATTTATCATTTTTCATATATTTAATGATCATATTATTTTATTGATCGTTCAGTATTTTTTTATTTATCAATTAAATACAAGCCAATTCAATATGGTAATTCGACTGAAGATCTACTATCATTTTTAAAGAACCTTAAATCGGATACCGCATTTCTTTATGCGAATTTATTACTGAAAGAAGAAAAACAACATGTTCGTAAAAAAATATCTGAACAATCTTATTCATGAATATGGACATATATCAATTTTTGGATATTCCAAGGATAATATGAGTTTGCCATTACAAAAGGTTTATGTAGAATTAAAATTTGATCCAATTCATCCATCTATCAAAGCAACGAAAATGCTTGAAATTTCTGAAGAATTTAAACGTAAACTTTTTTCATATGGTTTTTTTAATGAAAATGAAACGAAAAAAATTAACAGAGCTATTATTGAAAGAAGTACAGAAAATCCGGATACTTTTTATAGAAATTTTATGACCGAACAATGGTTGAATGTATTATTAGATAATAGAAGTATATTTACGGAAAGTGAAGCACATTTAATTAAAAATAAGGTAAATGGATTAAGAAAAAATATTTTGGAAAAATCGAATGTTAAAGAAACGAAACAATATCAAATTCAACAAGCACACAATGACTTTAAACATTTCATAATTTTGGGTCATCCTGGTTCAGGTAAAACAACTCTATCGAAATGGTTGATAATGAATATGGCTAGACAATGTTTAGATGAGCAAAATAACTTATTTAACAGTATCTATTCTTTTAAACCAAGACTACCAATTCTTATTCCAATTTGGAAATATGTTGAACAATTGAAAGAAAATCAGAACAATGGCAATAAAAAGACTTTACTTCAATTTATTTATGAAAATCCTACATTTGATTCAAAATTTTTCAAAGATGAAGAGGAAAGAAAAATTTTATCAACAATAATCATCGAATCATTAATAAAAGGAGATGTTTTAGTTATTTTGGAAGGATTAGATGAGATTCCTGTTCATATGGATCGATCTGAATTAATGAAAGAGATAAATGCGTTACTAGAACGATCAAGAGATTATGATGCAACGACGAACAAGCTCTCTCACACAATTTATGAACAAAAGGAAATATGTGGTACTGAAGATTCAGATTTTGGTAATCGATTTATTATAACAAGTCGTACTGAAGGAAATTATTTTGAAGATATAAATTTTTATATTCCAAGATTAACTATAGAAGATATGTCTAATGATGCTCTAAAATCGTTTTGTAGTTCCTATATGGAATGTATAAAAGAAATTTCTATTAAAAGTGGAAAAATTATTAAAGAATACAAGAGTGATCAATTATATAATGATATTACGAAAAATAAAGATATTTTCCAATTGGCAATTAATCCACAGTTGGTCAGTGTAATTGCTGCGATTTATAATCAATATGGAGATGAATTACCGGAAAAACGAATTGATTTGTATGAAAAAGCGATAGAAAAAATGTTAGATAGATTAGTAACGTATTTTTCTAATACTTCAAATGAAGGACTTGAACTGAATACGACTATGGTATGGTCAATAATGCAAGAACTCGCTGAATATCTACATACTAAAGCTGAAGGATTAACAGAAAATATTTTAAGAGAAATAATTAGAAAATGTCTTGTAGATATTCAGAATCAGTCACTTATGAGTTCTGAAATAAGAGTTGAAACTTTGATTACAATACTTGTAGACATTTTTAAAGTACAAACAGGTCTACAGAGTGACCAAAAATTACGCGATATTTTTTTTTGAAATTTCAAACAAATTTATTTTCAAAAACAACGTAATATTTATTCAAAATGTCCGTCCTCTGCTTCGATCACTGCATCTAATCGCCTCATCCAATCGTGGGCACTGGGACACTATGGAATAGACGAGGAAGGCTAGTGGAATGAGTGAACATTCCAACAGGACAACGCTCCTTCTCACGCGAGCGACAAGGAAAACGAGCAGAAGTTCAAGATCCTGACGCAAAAGTGGTTGGATGAACATTTCCCGGATTTCATCAATAGGGATGAATGGCCTGCCTCATCTTCAGATTTGAATCTTCTTGATTACGCAATTTGGAACATTCTTATGGCTGAGGTAAATGCAGAAGCGCATGATTCTGTTGATTCGTTGAAGCAAGCGATAGAAGATGCCTTCAACAACTTGGACCAGGAGATTAACAAAGCCTTCGACGATTGGATGAGGCGATTAGATGCAGTGATCGAAGCAGAGGGCGGACATTTTGAATAAATATTATGTTGTTTTTGAAAATAAATTTGTTTGAAATTTCAAAAAAAATATCACGTAATTTTGGGTCACCCTGTATTAAATGAGTTTGGTCATAATAGTTTTCGATTTATACATCGTACATTTCAAGAATATCTTGCAGCTAAAAGTATTATCTACTTTTATGGAACAGAACGACATGAAGTTATAATTTATGAAAATATTAAAAATAAAATTACTATTTCAAATTGGAGAGTTCCTCTCAGTATGGCATTGGGAATATTGAGTAAATCAATTAATAGTGAATTATTTAATAATATTATTACAAGATTGTTGAAAAATGAACAAGTTTTATCTAATACTCAATTTTCTACGTCTCTTATACCATACGTCATTATTGATTCATTAAACGATATGTTTATCTCAACACAAGATACAGAACATAAATTAATTTGACAATTGGCAGAATTACTATTGTTTGATTATAAAACTATTACCGGTTTTTCAAGATTAAAAGAACATCAAAAATTAATTCATTCATATTTCTTAAAACTGAGAAAAGAATACGATAATTTAGTTACTGATTGGTTTATCGAAAAGATAAATGATGATAAGAATATTGCTCCATGTGCTTACATTATTTATCAATTAAAATGGTATAATATGAGATTTCATGAAATATTTTTGAAAAATTTAGGCAATGATTCAGTAATTTGGAACTGGCCAATCGATGGCCAGTTCCAAATTACTGGATCGTTCCGGTCTTACGATTTTATTCAAGTGAGATTAAAGGTGAAAGAGTTTTAACACAATTACAATTCAAAAATATAATAAATAAAAATCCAAATATTCTTCAACATATAATAAAGAAGAAGTGTGATTGGTTATGTTTAATTGTAGCCCTTTATGGTGGATATAAAAATTATAATAGTCAAACAAATATTTCAGAATATTTAGAAATTGCTCAATTTCTTAACTTAAGTGACCATGAAAGAGAACCATTTCTCTTTTATTATCAAGAAATTTGGGGCACAGATGCACCAGCTTATAATATGGCTGTGCATCTTGATACATTAGAATCGACAAAGCATTGGAATAAAAAACCCATATTCGATATAAACGAAATTTATAAAGAATCATCCCTGACAACTCAAATTCTTGAATTACTTGTTGAAGAAAAATCTGTAACAGACTTGATAGAGCAATTGAGAATGGAAATAAAGAGTCGTCAACTATCCACAGAAGAAAAAACGGAAGTATTGATTGCATTAATCACATTAGGCGATTTCGATTTTATTAATGATATTATAAAAGAAGTAGATGAAACATTTCTAAAAAATTTTAAAAATAGAATAGAACAATTAATTTCTACGTTAAAAGATCCAATTGCAAGACGGTCTTCAAAAATAGCAAACTATTTACTTAAACTTTATAATGTTATGAAAATGAATCAAATGAATTATAATCTTAATTTTTCTGATTATTGTAAAATATATTTATCTTTAATAGCCAGTAGTGGAGGATTACCAATTGACACTTCTATTCTAGCTGAAACTATGGATCATGTTGATGATAAATTTAAACTTTATGCAGAATATTTTGTCTGTAAATTTACTGGTGCTTCTATGATGGATCTTAACCATAGTGTTGCTGTAGTATTAGATAAACGTATTAAATCATGTAATATAAATCAAATTATAAAATCATTTTTAAAAATTAGTGACACTACTCAAATTTATAGACCAGTGAGAGCATATCCATGGCCTACGGATATATTTAATTTAAAATCAATTAGTGATGATGATATACCAATATCATTTTTTAATTGTCTAGAGAATATTCATAAAAATATAGCGTTCATAATAGATGCCATTTCTAATGTTTTCGATAAGGAAGGATATTTTAATAAAAATTCAGAATTAATTCCTTTAGTTATATTATTAAACTTTGGAAATATGTCAAAATATTCAAAATGGATGGAAGAAAATGGTGTTCGTCTGTTGCCAGAATTAAACTTTAAAAAAGATATAAAAGAAGTTTTATCTTCAAAAATAAAATTAATGTGCAACACCTACTATAAATCTCGAGCATTATGTCAATTAGCCGAGTTCTATGATGAACAATGTCATAATCTTTTAAATGAATCTTTTCAATTAGCTAAAAGTATCCAAGAGCCAATTTTAAAGTTTCAAGTTTTGGAGAAAATCTTCAATATCGTTCAGTATAAGCACTGCAAATGGTTAGTGCAAGAAATAATCATGGAGTTAGTCTTATGTTTTGACAATATTGAAAGTTTATATGACAAAGTTATTGCATCAATAAGATTATCATTTTATGGATCAAGAGATTTCCGACAGAAATATTTAAGATACGCTATAGATACTCTTATTAAGATGAATGATGATGATGAAAAAATTGAATTGATTATTAAATTAAAACCGTTCATTAGTATTTATGATGACTTTCAAAGTAGCCTGAATGAAATTATAGAAAACTTGAAAAATAAGACACAAAATTATTATATTAATTCTTACTATGGAAAAATATTATTTACTGGAAAATTACTTGTTAATACTTCGAATTCAAGTGGATGGTATCCTAGTGATAAATCAGAAAATAGTATTGATAACAAACAGAATGAAGAGTCGTCAGATTATGTTGAAATTCAAACTCTATTTACGCTCTTTGCACAATTAAACGATATAAAATTAATTATTGCGAATAAAGATAACATAAATCAGTTATGGATTAATCTTTTTAAACATGCTGATAATGAATTAAATATTGAAAGAATAGTGGAAATTGCACTAGATAACGAATTATTTTTAACACCTCAAGTAGCAATTATAATTGATGGATTGATACAAAATGGAAAGGAAAATAAAGGAGTAGTATCGATAAGTCGGTTTTTCGTTTCAAAAAATTTCCGATT